TTGGGGGGGGGGGAGGGGGTGTGAGGGGTGCGGGAAGAGATTGGACAATAATCGTGCACCTATGCATGAGGACAGTGGGTGGGGAGTGAGGGCGGAGGGTGGGGTAGGAACTGGGCGGAGGGGAGTTATGGTGGGAAAAAAGAGTAACTAATGTAATAATCTGAACAATAAAGATTTAATTGAAATAAATAAATAAATAAATAATAAAAATCCAGTTTCATAAGAGAGACTTAAAAAGCAATCCCATTTACCATCACACCAAAAAAATTAAGATATCTAGGAATAAACTTAACTAAAGAGGTAAAAGACCTCTACTCAGAAAACTACAGGACGTTGAAAAAAGAGATAGTGGAAGACATAAACAGATGGAAGAACATACCATGTTCATGGATTGGTAGAATCAACATCATTAAAATGTCCATACTACCCAACCTCAATCAGGACCCCAAACCAGAGAGACCCCACATCTGCTCCCTCTTTGGCTTAAGCCCTGCTTTGTCCTGAATCCCATCCTCAGACACACTCACTCTGGCTCTGGTGTCCTTACCGCTGCTCCATTCCCTCAATCGAGGCCCTGCCTCCTTCACTACCGTCCAGGCACCAGCAGCATGCACAGTCGGCCACACCATAGTCTTCTAGATTTTCCCTTCCACCCCAACAACTACATACAAAGAGGGACCTCACAAAGCTACCAAATCCTGTTCTGTTAGTCTGTGCACTACTGAATGTTTCTATTTTTTAAAGACAATATTTTTAGAGCTGTTTTAGGTTCACAGCGAAATTGAGAAGGTACAGAGATTTCCCATATACAATACACTCTGCGTAGGGGCACATGCATAGCTGCCCCATTATCAACATCACTCGCCAGAGTGGTACATTTGTGAGAAGTGATGAACCTACATTGACATAGCATAGTCACCCCAAAGTCCAGAGTTTACACTGGGGCTCAATGTTGGTGTTGTACATTCTATGGGTTTGGGCAATGTTGAAAAGGAGTGATGAGAGGGGACATTCTTGCCTTATTCCTGATCTTACTGGGAAAGCTTCAAGTTTCTCACCATTAAGTATGATGTAGATTTTTGTATATGTTGAAGAAATTCTCCTCTATTATTAGTTTATTGGGGTTCTTTTCTTTTTTTTTTTATCACAAATGAGTATTGGATACCATCAAATACTTTTTTTTGTCTCTATTAATATGATCATGTGATTTTTCTTTTTTAGCCTTTTGATGTGATGGGTTGCATTAACTAATTTATAAATGCTGAATCAGCTTTGCACACCCATGATAAATACTACTTGGTTGGATTGTGTAACATTTTTTTATACATTGTTGAATATAATTTGTTAATATTTTCTCGAGATTGTTTATGCCTATGATTATTAGATACATTAGTCTGTAGTTTTCTTCTTTTTTAAAAAATATCTTTGTCTGCTTTTGGTATTAAGACAATGCTGGCCTTTTCTTTCTTTTCTTCTTAATTAGCCTGGTTAGAGGCTCATCAATTTGAATGGTCTTTTTCGAAGAATCAGCTTTTGGTTTTCTTGATTTTCTCTATTGATTTCCTTAATCAATTCCATTGATTTATACTCTAATTCTTATTATTTCTTTTCTTCTGCTTCCTTTGGATTTAATTTGCTCATCTTTTTCTAGTTTCCCAAGGTGGAAGCTTAGATGATTGATTTTAGATATTTCTTCTTTCTGATATATGCTTTCAGTACTATAAATTTCCTTCTAAGTACTGCTTTCACTGCATCCCACAAATTTTAATAAGTTGTATTGTCTTTTTCATTTAGTTCAAAATATTATTTTCATATCTCTTGAGATTTCTTCTTTGACCCACGTGTTATTTAGAAATGTTTTGTTTAATCTTTATGTATTTGGGGGATTTTCAGTTATTTATTATTAATTTCTAGTTTACTTCTATTGTGGCCATGGTGTAATTTCTATGCTTTTATGTTTGTTAAATTGTGTTTTATAGCCCAGAATGTGGTTTACCTTGGTGAATGTTCCATGTAAGTTTAATAAGAATGTATCCTGCTGTTTTTGGATGAAGTCGCCTATAAATATCAATTACATTCCGTTGATTGACGGTGGTGTTGAGTTCAACTAGGGCCTTAATGATTTTTCTGCCTGCTAGATGTATCCATTTCTGATAGAAGGATGTTGAAGTCACCAACTATAATAGTAGACTAATCTATTTCTCTTTATCCCTGATAACTTTTCTTGCTTTGAAGTCTGCTTTATCTAAAATTATAATTGCTGCTGCTTTCTTTTAATTAGTGTTAGTATGGTATATATTTTTTCTCCATCCACTTACTTTTAATCTATTCATGTCTTTATATTTAAAATGGGTTTTGTGTTGACAAGATATATTGGTTCTTGTTGTTTCATCTATTCTTTTTTATAATGTATTTTTATTGATTTTATAGATGAAGAGAGAGGGAGAGAGAGGTAGAAACATCAATGATGGGAGAGAACCATCAATTGGCTGCCTCCTGCATGCCCCACACTGGGATCAAACCAGCAACCCAGACATGTGCCCTGACTGGGAATCGAACCATGACCTCCTGGCTCATAGGTCAGTGCTCAACCACTGAGCCATGCTGGCTGAGCTGTTTCATTCATTCTGACATAAAATATATACACAAGCACACATAATCAAATATACTGTTAATATTATTTTGAACAATCTGTCATATGTTAGATCAATTAAGAAAAGTAAAAGTGTTTATTTTACCTTCATTTATCTTATCTTTGACACTCTTCTCTTTACATAGATCCAAATTTCTGACCTATATTATTTTCCTTCTCTCTAAATAATTTTTTTTACCATTTCTTAAAAGGTAGGTCCAATGGCTACGAATTCTCTCAATTGTTATTAGCCTGAGAAAGTCTTTATTTCTCCTTCACTTTTGAAGTATAATTTTGCAGAATGCAGAATTCTAGACTGATGGATTTTCTTTCTCGACACTTTAAATTTTCACTTCTCTCCCTTCTTGCTTGCATGGTTTCTGAGATGTAATTCTTATCTTTGTTCCTCTATAGATCATGTATTTTTATCCTCTGACTTCTGTCAGAATTTTTTTTTATTGTTGATTTTCTTTAGTTTGAAAATATATGCGTCTGTGTTTTTGTTTTTTTGTGGGGTTTTTGTGTGCATTTATCCTGTTTGGTGTTCTCTGAGCTTCCTGACTCTGTAGTATGGTGGCTGGTATTAATTTGGGGAAATTCTCATTCATTATTATTTCAGATATTTCTCTGTTCCTTTCCCTCTTTCTTCTCTTGGTATTTCCATTACATGTATGTTACACCTTTGTAGCTGTTCACATTTTCTTGAATATTCTGGGGGGTTTTGAGCCTTTGTTCTCTTAGCTTTTCAGTTTTAGATGTTTTCATGAATATACCCTCTAGCTCAGAGATTCTTTCTTCAGCTATGTCCAGTCTATTAATGAGCTCCTCAAAGGTATTCTTCCTTTCTATTACAGTGTCTTTTATCTCTCTCTCTCTCTCTCTCTCTCTCTCTCTGTGTGTGTGTGTGTGTGTGTGTGTGTGTGTGTGTGTGTGTTTTAGTTCTTTCTTAAGATTTCCATATCTCTGTTTGGAAATCTGATCTTGCTGTCTACTTTATCCATTAGAGACCTTAGCTTGCTAAGTGTAATTGTTGCAAATCACTGTCTGGTAATTCCAACATTCCTGCCATGTTTGGCTCTTATGTTTATGGTCTCTACAAATTGTCTTTTTTGCTTTTTGGTATGCCTTTTGATTACTTGACAGAGAGACATGATGTACTGAACAAGAAGAATTGTAAATAGCAGGCCTTTATCAATATGGTGGTAAGATGTGGGGAAAGGAAGCATTCTATTGTCCTATGACTAGGTCTCAGACATCTAGTGATCCTCTGGATTGTGAACTTCCTAAGTGCTTCTCAGTCCTCCCCTCCCCTTATGGCTAGAAGGAGCTGGAGTTGGATAGTATTTACCTTATTATCAGTTAGGCTCTGGTCATAACCCAGTAGATTAGGCTGTGGTTATGTAGTTTCTATTAAAAGTTGACCTTGCTTAGAAGAACAGAGTGCTCGGGCATATTTCAGAATGGTTTCATCCCCTGCCTTCCCTCCACCAGAAACATGAGAAGATTTTTCTCTAATATTTATCATAAGAGACTTGTTGAGCTCCTGAAGGAAAATCTCACAAAACTGTGAAAGTTCCCCATAACTGGGTCCTCCCAAAGTTTTTAATTATTAGAGTTTTCCATAATGAGTCTCCAACAATTAATCAACTATAGTTCAGGTTTTCCTACCTGTGGCTGGTTCCCGGGGCAGTTGCTATACTCATTAATCTCTTTTCTGAGGCATTACTCCCCATGTTCATCTGACTATCTCTCTAATCTTGGGGCAGCAGTTTGCCCCGTGTCCTCCCTTCTCTATGGATCCAAGAAAAATTATTGATTTTTCAGTCTCTTCCGCTTTATGCTTATTGTTAGGACAGAGTGGCAACTTCCAAGCTCCTACATGTGGAACTGGAGACCACCATTGAACATTAGCTTTTTATTCTTTTGCCAAGATGCTTACATGGCATCCAAAGTAACAACTTCAACAGCTGTCCATGAAAAGGGGTGGCTGGAGAAGCCCAGCTCACTCCCAGACAAGTGTATAAGGTAGAATATCTTCACTACTCAGAAACTCAGCCCCACCAGAATCCCAGAGTTGACTTCAGTCAGATACTGATTCATTCTTTAAACACTTGTAAGAAAGACAGAGACTACCTAGCGTGCCAACTATCAGGTTGAACTCTCAGAGGGAATCTTTATCCTTTATGTCACAGCTATTTACGAAGGAGTGAGACACCCAGTGTTCATCAATTTAGACCTCAGAACTCCCCTCAGTTAACTGAACAACTTGTAGACCTAAAGTAATTATGACTCCCAAAGCAGGTGATCCAGTGAGCCTGCTTTTAAAGAATTACCAAAGAATCCACCTGTCTCATAGCTCCCCCTTTGCTCAAACAAAGCATTTCATGGAAAACTTGTCTACAGCTGTCCCCAGGTAAAATGACACCACACAAAGTTGTTCTGTCTAGGGGGAGAGCAGAGCATCTATTCTCCTTCTATATAAGAGCCTGAGGTGTCCACACATACTCTTAAAAAATCAGAGGAGAATTGGGAATATAATTGACATTTGCCTTGCAGACTACAGACATTTTATAACATATATTTTATTCATAAGATGCTATATCACTAGGAGTAGCCAAATCCTTGTTTGAAAGCCAAGCCCTGTCTAAATTTCTGTTCAGAAATTTGAGACCTTAAAAAAGGTTTCATTTCCTGATCATTTCATGAATACCTTGGATTTTTTTTCCTCTCATAGAAATATTAAGTTATATTGACACAGAAAAGAGCATAGCAAAAATTAGATTTTTAATGGGAAATTTTACCTAACCTGCAGCTTCACCTTAAAATAAAAAACTGTGGAACTGCACATTAATCCCAGATTCAGACCTTGTCCGTTACTTCACTCTCACCCTGGTTCACTCCCTTGTGGGACAGGAACCGTGTATGATTTATTTTTGCATAACACATTGTTTTATGTAGATTAGAATTCTAGTATTCAAAAAATATTTCGTGATGAATTACTTTTCTTGATAAACTATTGCCAAATAAATGTGTGTTTCAGGAAAGCAAAAAAGAACATTTAAAGCATTTTTAACTTTATTTTTACCATAACTCATAATGAAAAGTACATTTACATCATAACCATTATATACATATGAACATACATGTATACATCTATCCAAAACAAAAATTATAACTAAAAAACAACTTACCCTCCAGATGGCTGATGATTTGGGCTATTTATTCTATTTCACTTTTTAAAATGCTACTCATGACCCCTTAGCAGATTTCATGACATCTAATGGTTTGTGATTCAGTTTTGAAAAATATTGATTTAGAAAACTAGTTTCTGGAAACAAATATGGAAGCAAACGATAAATTAAAAAAACTAGAAAAAAAGTTTTAAAATAATGGTTACTTACTTGGTTGATGCCAAAGCAACAGTGGGTGGCATCTGCTGAAAGAATGGAAGGAACGGCCTGGGGACGAAAGGAAAATACAAACATGTGGGACTTCTACATTGTGTGCACTCTCAGTTTTCTCCCACGGAGCTTGAATATCCCATATGTCAGTAATCCTCAAACTTTTAACGTACATAAAATCACTAGGGAGGGGAGAGATTCTTGTTCAAAATGCAAAGTCCCAAGTCTAGACAAGGGGATGCAGCATATATATGGCAGAGCCAATGAAGCTGTACTTTAAACAATTGTCGCAGTGTTTCCTCTGCAGGAAAACATTACTTTGAGAAGCAATGCTCTATAGTTGGGCTTCAGCTGGTCATTAGCTTCCAGAAACTTCTCAAGTGCCCTGAGACATTCTGACATTCCCAATGATTTAGTTTTTAAAATTTCCCTTCAAAAGTCTAGGAATTGAGTATACTATGTTAAGAATTTAATATTTTTCTGAAAAAGTCAGCATCATAAAGTGTCCATAAGGAGATTGCTCATAAATAATAATGTGGACTACAAATTTTCTTTCTTGATGAAGCTCATCTTACATTAATTTGATCTGAATATATGATTATCTCTTGACTATTCATCACAAATGAAACCAAGTGAATCTTGAACCATGTTAGTTTTGGCAACATTCATACAAAGAGAGCAAATGTCATCTATTTACTCCCTTTTAACAATTTTCCCTGCACTATGACTGTCATGCTGTCTCTAGTATATCTCACTTCATGTGATGACTTTTTTTTTTCAAATATACATTCTTATTTACAGTAAAGTACAGTGAGGCCTTGACTTACGAGTTTAATTGATTCCGTGACAGAGCTCATAACTCAAATTACTCGTATGTCAAATCACTGTGATTTGACAAATCACTAGTTCGCTGCGCCAACTAGTGATGGGGTATCTGAAGCTGGCTTATATGTAGCCCGAATTTTAGCTCGCAACTCAAAGCAAAAAATCGGCCGAGAGACGGCTCGTATCTCAAAAAAACTCGTTAGTCGGGACACTCGTAAGTCAAGGCCCCACTGTTGCCTTGAAGTCAGGCAGACTTAGTTGGGATCCCAGCTCTGTCACTTGCTAACTTAGGTGAGCATGAGTAATTTATTATCCTCTCTTGGTTACAGCTTCCTTAGTGGTAAATTGGGATAATATATCCTAACCTACATTTCTGTTGTGAAAATTTAAAATATATATGTAAAGCACTTAAAGTAGTGCCTGGCACATTATATGCACTTAAAAATGATAGCAACTCTCATTATCATAAAGAGGTTCTCTACTAATATCAGGGCTCATATTCTTAGTAACTACTTTCTACCTTTCAAAATATTTATAGCGATTCTTCCCAGTAACATCAGGATCTTCATAAACTTCTTTAGGCATTTGAAAAGAAGTGTCATATCTAAAATAAAGCAGGAAAACATTATTCAAGTCTAACATATTTCCAAATACCATTTCTATTTAATATTTCTATGTCTATAAAGTAGGAGATACAAGTGTATTTCAGACTGAGAGCAAAGTCTTCTATCACATACATCTGACTGACTTTCCCTGAGCCAGGAAACCTGGAATTAACAAAAGGAAGTGAGAGTTAAGAAAAGAGTCAATTGTCATAGACACAGAGAGCAGACTGATGGTTGCCAGAGGGGAGAAGGGTTGGGGGACTGGGTGAAAAGGTTGAAGGGATTAAGAAGTACAAATTGGTAGTTACAAAATAATCATGGGGATGTAAAGTACAGCACAGGGAATATAGTCAACAAAATTATAAAAACTATGTATTGTGCCAGGTGGGTTCTGGAAATATTGGGGGGAACACTTTGTACAGTATATGGTTATCTAACCACTATGCTGTACACCTGAAATGAGTGCAAAGTAATACCGAATGTCAACTGTAACTGAAGAATAAAATTTAAAGTTCTTTTTAAAAAAATAAATGAATTACTTGATTTATTTTTAAAAAAAAAAAAAACAAGAAAGGAGTCAATTTATAAAATCCCACATTTAAAAAAAATGCCTACTTTTAATTAATAGCACATGAGAGTAACAGTTTTAAAAGACAACTTTTGATATCCAGGCTGAAAAACAGCATTTAAAAAAAATGTTTACTAGGTATAAACTAGTAAATAATCAAAAGAATAAGAAATTCAGGACACTTGTCTGTGAAGGTGCTTTGGCTACAAGTTTCAAAAACATATTTTAGATACTACCAGAAAAGTACACATCCAATTTCTAAGATGGATCAAAGGAACAACAAATTCAGTCACCTCCACCTGTGGTGGCAAGATGTCAATGTATATATATATATTAGAGGCCCAGTGTATGAAAATTCATGCACTGATGGGGAGGGGGTCCCTCAATCTGGCCTTCCCCCTTTCACAGTCTGGGAGCCCTCAGGGGTTGTCCTACTGACAGCTTAGGCCTGCTTCCCCGGGGGAGTGGGCCTAAGCCGCAGTCTGGCCTCCATCTGCAGGAGCAACTGGCCGATCAGGGGAAGGCGATGCCCCCATCATGCTTCTGCTGCTGCCACTGCCGGCCACCATGGCTGTCTGAACCTCGGGCCCTCACAGCGGCAGCCGCCATCCGCGGCCTGCCTGAGCCTCGGGCTGGCCCTGGCAGTGGCAGCCACCATCCACAGCTTGCCTGTGCCTCGGGCAGCCACTGCGGCTTTGTCCAGGACGTCCACCCTAATTAGCATATTACCCTTTTATTAGTATAGATTCACTCCAACCTTCTGAGACCATCTGCTAACCAATAAACCTATAACCACTGCTCCTGCATCAGGCTTGGTTTTATTAAAGGGGTTAAGAGAGAGAATTTGGGGTCCACTGGCCTAGGTATAGCATCAAAATTATACATTTTAAAATAATGCAAAATAAATGAATATTTTTAATATGAAAAATGCATTTATTAAAAACATGAGTAGCAGCTGAAGCTACTAGACACTTACATGCCAAGTTGCTGGAGGGTTTCTCTCCGTTTCTGCTCATGTCCCCTCCATTCCCGACTGATGAATGGTGGGACGGGATCTGCCTTGCTCCAATATAGAGAATGTCTTGGATAATGGATCAGGTTACTGAACATAGTCCTAAACCTGGGAACTTTCCTCTAATGTTAGGCAGGGAGAAAAAGGACAAAATTATGCCATCAGATTTTCTAAAGCCTTTTACTTATATTGCAAACTGTTTTTAAAGGGTAAAAAAGAGTGTATCTGGCACAGAAAGAAGGGTTATTGGCATATACATAGAATATCTCTGGAAGAATACCCAAGAAACTAATGACAATGAATGATTATGTAAAGGGAACAGAGGGCTAGAATTTACTTCATATTGTATATGCTTTTGTACTTCTTGAATTCTTTTAATACAGGTATATATCACTTTCCCCATTTAAATAAGTTAGGTTATAATGAGTCCTTTATTCATTATTAGAGGCCTGGTGCACGAAATCTGTGCACAGGGCAGGCAGGTCCCTCAGCCCAGCCTGCACCCTCTCGCAATCCGGGACACCTCGGGGGATGTCCGACTGCCAGTTTAGGCCTGATCCTGCAGGGACATCCCTCTTGCAATCTGGGACTGCTGGATCCTAACCACTCACCTGCCTGCCCGCCTGCACACCCCTAACCATTTGCCTGACCGCCTGAACACCCCTAACCATTTGCCTGGCCGCCTGATCGCCACTAACCCCTCACCTGCCTGCCTGATCGCCCCTAACCACCTCTGCCTCGGCCCCTGCACCCGGGACCCAGGCTTCCCTCCCCTGGCAAGCCGCAGGCACCCAGGACCTGGGCAACTTTGCCTGGGCAGGCACCTGGGACCCCGGGCGGTACCACCTGGGCCCCAGCTTTGTCAGGAAGGACATTCGGAATGACTTCCAGAAGACATTCTGTCTATCTGGTCTAATTAGCATATTACCCTTTTATTAGTATAGACTAGAGGCCCGGTGCACAAAAATTTGTGCACTCGGGGGGGTA